CTACTACTACTACTACTACCACCATGACCACAGCGGCCTGCCACTGGCACACTGCACGAGTGCGAGCAGCTAGCACCCGCGTTTGCACTACCACCATATACAACTACTACGTTCACTGCCACACGAATACTTCCTCTACATACTGTTGTTTGATGATGATGCTCGTGATGATGAAGACGAGGACGAGAATTGTGACACCCGTGCTGGTAATGAAGAAGGGGATATTGCAACAAGATGCTATAGCTGGTAACGGTGTGATGTTCAGCACATCTGGGAGGATGGTCATGAGCCCACAGCTGAAGACCACAATGCTTGGCCTCGTTTGTATGGCCTTGCCTTCGGCGTCGGGCCTGGGGTAACCGACCCTAGACTCCAAACGGTGCACCAGCAAAAATGGCATTAGTAGTAGTTCGTGTCGTGCTAGCAGTACTGGATGTGCAAGCAGTTATATACTTTAGCAATGTGGGCCTTTCTACTACAGCTGCTGTTTCTAGTACAGTTCTCTTTCTGACGAGCAATGAAATCGTAAGCAGGGTCGTATTGCGAGCGCAACACACACTCTCTCTCTCTCCGATCGCGAATCACAACTAGTTTTGACATCATTAAACACCCACAAACCTTAAAGACTAATGGCCCCCGAATCCAAAGATCTTCTCGACCGAAAAGACAAACGACACCAACGCCAACAACCTACACATTCCGACCAATGAAATCCCCAAGCCCTATGACCCAGCCCTAGACAATCAACTCGGAACATGAGATGCGGGACTCCCAAGTCCTGTGACTAAGAAGCTCCAACCCCGAAATCTTAAACTGGCTGGAGCCGAGTCTCAACCCCCTTTTTTCTCAAAGTCCCCCGCACCCACTACACCACGGGCCCAAAAACCCGAAACGGCAAAGCAAACCCTAACCCCCCAAGTACCTACTATATAGGGTACTAGAGCCCCTAGGGCCCCATATAGTAGGTACCTGGGCGGTTAGGGAAACATCCCCTTCCGAATTCAAATGTGCGACCGCGAGGTCTGCCTGCAAAGCCTCCAAAAGTCTGCTTTTACAGGTCCTCGGCTGTGAGGCTTAGGGTTTAGGGTTTAGGGTTTATTGAATCCAAAAGCTTCCGACCCAGCCCGACAAGCCCATAAACCCAGCTCCCCGAAATCCTGGACCCAGACTCCGCAATTCCAGACCCATCGCTCCTGTACGGACAGGAGCAAGAAGGCTGCTGTGTCCACGGTCAAGGGCTGAACTGCTTGCACAATGAGACGCCTTGCTGCCCCTGGGATCTGCTCCGAGTTGGATCTGCTCTGAGTTGGGTTCCTTCAATAGGGCAACGGGTTCACGCAACAGGTAGCTCAACATGATATGAGTCATGTCATTATCAGTAGAATATACTACAACAGATCTCCAATGGGGTTATTAACAATTATTTTCATTTTGTTTCTAAGGGGCTTCAGGGCTTGTTTAGACAGCGTCTATGCAGTCTTGGGTGTTGTATATGAGTCATATAGGGCTCAGCTTGAGAGCTATTCATGAGCTGTTATTTTGAGACTATTGCGGGGAGGGGTGGGCAAAGCCTTGCCCAATAGCTCTGATTAAATCCCGCAGTGCTAGCCTTCTCAAGCCTTCTAATGATTTTTATTCCCTAAACCCTAAACCCTAAACCCTAAACCCTAGCTGGTTACCGTGTCTATGGCTATGGACTGGGAAGTTGGGGACCAAAGCAAGCACAAGCATAGGGATCATACCTCGGAGCTCCGCGGCCTCCCGAACCCCAAACCCTAAGCCACACAGGTCATGCCCTGGATCTGTAAACCATTAGTCTGTCTGGTGCTTAGTAGGGAATGGGGGAATGGATCCCTATGATAGTCCCTTAAGGTCCCTTGTAGTAGTCCCTATAACCCATTCCCCCATTCCCTACTAAGCACCAGACAGTAGTTCTGGCTTGGTAGGAGACCCAAGAAAGCGCTTTGCCCATGCTGCCGAACATGGTGGCTGAGCCCTAGGAGCCTCGACACTAAGCCCCTGTTACACCCTGAACCCTAAACTCTCTACCCTTAACCCTAAATGTCTGGGTTTAGGGTTTAGGGTTTAGGGTTTAGGGAAAAACTCTTGTTACACCCTAAACCCTGAATGATACCTGAGCCTGTAGATCCCGATACAAACTCGGACCCCAAGCCCTAAACCCCTAAAAAGGTGAGACATTGTCGAAGGACTACGACCCGATCCTAAACCCTAAACCTTCAACCCTAAACCCTAAACCGGACAACTCTTCGGCTTTCTGGCTCTATCTTAGTAGCTGAGTGCTTAAGCTTGAATCTATTTTGGGGTGTGTATAACCCTGCCATGAAAAACAGGTTAACCTCTGTTGGGCTAGGGTAATCTAGGGGCCTAAAGATTTGCCAATACTATTTTTTTTTTTTTTGGGGGG